ATACGACCTATTAAATGTTTACTTAAATATACATCAACAGCATATATTGATTATTAATTATTAATTGATTCATTGGATTAATAGTATTGATAATTATCGAGTAAGAAAACGATTCTAACAGTATTAAGTATGTTTTGTTGTTGTTGTTGTTAAATTTTAGTGAGAATTCCTTGCTGTACATCATGATTAAATAGAAAAATTTCAAGTTATTGAACTTTCACAAGAATTAACAACAATATGAACACATTTAACTGTTGTTTTTCTTCGATTATCTTTAATATATGTGAAAAACACTCGATATGAAAACATATTGCACTTATTCAATTAGGTAATATTCAAAGTTTGTTTGATATTAAACAATTATCATTAACAATTGATGGTAAAATTATTGACTGTTTTTGTTTTTTTATGGAACTCACATTACGTTTTCCTTTTCGAAGAAAAATAGAATGAATGTAAGTTTTAGAGATATGCGGGACGAAAGTTTAGAAGTTTGCCGGATTTGTAGTCATAATATTTTCATTAGAATTTATTTCACATTTCTCATAGCATCTTGATAGTGATTGTTTAGGAATGCGATCATTATAGACTTTTACTTTAAGAGTAGCAACTGGATGTGGCCAAGCATTACGGAATTTCATTTATTCACCTTCTTCAACCTATATCTCCATAGCGACAAGAGTAAACGCGACGAAATCTTTATCGTGAATAGAAATCATCAAGATCTTACATAAGTTAAAAATTTATTGATTTCCGTTGAATCAGAGATGAGTTATTCACACAATACCGACCCTTACGGAATTTCGTCTTTTTTCGAAAGGTGGCAGTTTCTTTAAGAGTAAAAGCAATTAGATATTCGTTTTCAGCGTGAAATTCTACATCAAATGAACTATATTTCCCTAAAACCTGAGGAAAAAAATTTTCAACCTTTTTCCGATACGAGAAACTTTCGAGGAAAATCAAAGTTGAAGTTTTGGAAAATTAAACCAGACCATTTTGTTCAGAATACAATGCTGATTCCAGATATATACAAATATATTTATGTTTATGAAGATGAAAAGCACTGAACATTGAATAATGTAGAAATACCGCAATTTTCTTAGTGTATTCGATAGAGCCCAGTGAGTACTCTCTGCCTGTCTCGTTTTTATTTCGAAAGCTGTCAATATATGCAAGAAAAATAACTTATGAGCCAATTTCGTTTCGAAATTTCATTAAAAATGCAGATGGTTTGTGAGTGCATTATCTTGCTTCAGACACTATTCGAACGTTGTGTTAAGAGGATATTCGAAAAGAGCAAAGTTTTTTCTGCTGATCATAATAAAATTCGTTCTTATTCCACACATTCGTTGATACTTTTGACAACATATTATACACTATGGGTCGATCAATTGTTTCAGAAGAGAATCACTCAAAACACAAAAGACGCTAGTATTGGGCAGCAAGCAGATGCCCAAGAGCTAGCAACATCTGTTTTAAAGATTATCGATAATGACCTTTCAACTTGCATATTAGGTTTCTTTTACATTTCATTTTGGATCCTCTACATCAGAGGATGACCGTTAGCTAGACATCACTAACTATGAAACCAGATCTGTACTCAACGAGCAGTACCCAGAACTATGAGAAAAATTTATAATCTAGTAGAAATTTTTCACTTCAGGTATTTTCTATGAGTATAATGATACTAAAGAATACATGTGAGTTCTACAGTGTACTGCTCAACGAACTGCACTGACACAATCTCTATTTTTATTTAAATAAAATTTTTCTAATTAAAGAAACAGAACAATTTGGAATACTTCGTTCAATTGATGGCCACAGTCATATCTACGTTATCATCGATTTGAACATTATCGAATAGTACTCATCATTATGGAAATAATAAAACTGATGAACTTTACCAGTTAGCTAAATCGATTTTCGTAATGTATAATTTTTATTTTAGTCTTCACTTATTCAAACATCACTTGAAAATTCAGACATTGATTCAGATTTACATTCAATTAGTCGTCTAAATTTATTAGATTTAGCATTTAAACGGTTTGAAAATTTTCCTTTTTTTAAATTAATTAATATTGAATAAATATATCTATATATAGTTAAATTTTAGTGGTCTTCATAAAGCAATGAACTATGAATAAATGAAGCTTTTTTATTCAATCAAGAATCTAATAAACATGTAACAAAAAAAAATTAATTGTCCAATTCATTTATGAGAAGATGAATGATCGAATAGTTTCGATTCAAGTAAACAAATGAGCGTATCATCAAGACAAGTAAGTATTTCACATGAGAATTTTTCATAATTAAACTAAAACGTTCAGAAAATGTTGACTCATTTAATAACCGAAAGGAATTAGAAATGTGTATGCTAATAAAGACTAATGCTTCACTAGAAAGATTGTTTAGCTCAGCTGGATTGATATTTACTCAATGATGGATAGGTTTATCATTAAGTGAAAACTTTCAAATATCTTATTTATTCTTTCTTGTTGTCTAGCTATTGATATTGATTACATTTTGAATAATTAATATTTTAATTTTGTTTTATTCAGTTTATGAAATAGTATGATAATCGAATATTCGGATTGGTTTTCTCTTTATTTTGACTGTATTGATATATTCAATCGTGAGAAAAACAAACGAAATAAGGATTATTGTTTGATTCAATAGGCGTAGCTAGGAGGAAAGTAACAGTGATTTCTACTGAATTATTTTTAAAGTAATTCAAAACTAAGTTTATTGCAGCCCAAACCGAAATTTAATAGATGAACAATTCAATAATTATTTCTAAAGTCATCATGATAACATAGGATACAAAAGCTTTGACACTAATTATTTCTTTATGTAGTGGTGAGTTAAGCTTGCATTAATTGATGTTTGCACTAAACAAAATCAATATTTTCATCATTCATAACTTGTTTAAATTGATGATGCAACAGATTTTCAGTCTTTTTTCTGCTATGTAAATATATAATTAGATAAGAAATTCTGTAGAACTAACTTCATGCTATAAAGTTAGGTTTTGAGTTGAAAAAGAAAAGAATGAGCCGAATAAAATTTTTGTATCGATTTCAGTTAGAAGCTGTTTCAAACATCTACTTCTATTATGAAATGTTTAAATTAGAAATAACTCATGAACAAATATTTTCGAAATTTATTGCTTTCCCTAATAAATATCTAAAACAAGAAGGAGTATTTTATTATAACACTTTACAGTACAAGTCATGCTGACATAAGTACCTTCATAAGAAAAATTTGTATAAAGTACCTGTAAGAATCTTTCATTTTTCTTTGATGTCATTTGTATGCCAAATTTAGTATAATAGTTTTGATACAAGAAAGTACTCGGTACTTATCTGAAGAAAAATCTTAGTATTCTTTGAGGAAAAAACTCTAAATGTTTTGCTATTCTCGAAGAATGAACTGTCACCATCTGCAAAAGTAGGATATGATTAAATGTTCAATGTAGTTTCTCAACAAAGTTCATTATCGAACATTATTCAACACATCATCAAAATTTTTCTTGCTTTTTAGTTTAGATGTTAAAAAGACGAGATCAATTTTTAAATAAAATCTTATCAAGAACTTTTCCCATCTATCGAAGGACAATCGTCAGATAAGAATATGAAAAGTTGACTGACGAAATATGGTTGTTCCAAACCTTCGTTCTTCACATATCGAAATTTTACTGGATGTTTCAGCATAAAAACACGTAATTCACCTTAAGTCATCTACAAAATAGAATTTCGACTTTAAACTTTGCGCGAACAAAGTTCTTAACGAGATTCGTTAATAAAGAAAAATTTCAATTATTCAATATCTCAGGATAGAAAAAAAGAACTAGAAAAGTTACAACATGCGCAAAAAATTAATATAATGTTTATGCAAAATTTGATTTCGAAAGTCGATTTTTCATATAACCTGAGTAGGACTACAGATCTTTGTTGAAAAACAATGAAGATTCGAAAAACAGAACCATTCTAAACTTTTCTATTACTCATCAAATGAACATCGTCTCAGTCGAAAAGTATATCGTTGTTTCAAGTTGAATTTTTGTTCACATTTAGGATTTGTTCATGAAAACTGTTCATCATTTGAATTCTTCGCCATTTATACAATCCATTCAAGAACATAAGTTCGTTGAATATTACCTTTAATTTTTTTTCCATTTGATTTCTATACTTTTACAATGAATGTATAAACTGATAAAGCAACCAGCATCTTTATTTTACTCAAAACAGAAAATTTGATATGTTATTATCCTTTTTTGTTTCTTTTCGATGATTAATCTACATTTCGGAATAACTTTGAATCTATGATTAAAGACACCATCGACGCTCAATAAATCAAAATCGAATGAAAACATATAAGAAATGATTCATCTATTGTATCTGATATTATGTTTTTATGAAACATGATCTGAAATGAATGTTGAACTATAAAACACTTGTGTAACTGAAACAATTCTCTATAAGCAGTAGCAGATCCGAAGACTCCAATAGAACTACTTGAATTAAGACCTTCGAAAAAAAAATTTATTTGATAGAGGAAAATAGGGCGTCACGGAACTTTCTATGCACTCCTTTCATCGACTTGTTTTTGATCTACGAAGAGCTCGAAAAGCAATTCGATGAAGAAAGTTCATGGAGAGTTTGGAGACTTATCATTTTGCTCTATCCAATAAAAATATTTTTCAAAACCTTCGAATAGATACAAGAAATCTGGTTTTGGACGTCTTGATCTTCCGCAGATCCTCATTCAAGTGGTTTCGTTGAGGTCTTCGAGCCTACTAATCCTGATGAAGAACTCTTTTAGTTGTACATCTCTCTATTGTATCAGAGACAATGACAGGTTTTGTTGATATACAGTCGAAGGTCGTGTCTCAATATCGTCTAGTTAACTAGTTCCTGTTTGCATTTCTGAAGCATCAAGTAAATGAAGGGTGAAGAAGTCTCTTCTAGATTAGACTGAATAAAACAATTTCCTTGTCATTAGCAACAGCTACTGCAACATGTTTCATAATTTAATCTCGCACAAAATTCACTAGCAGCATTATTATTATAATTTTTGTTTATGAAACACTAAAACCTGATATTCGAAATATTATGATGGTAGCTGTTTTACGTTACATCAACAATGTACCTCATTTGGATATTCTTACTGAAGCTTTATTAAATGCTGATGTTTTCTTGTGCAGTAAAATCAAATAATTTCTTATTCATCTTTTCATTGTTAATGTTAAATTTAAGGTATTGTCAGTTGAAAAATTACAATACTATATATTTATGGTACTGATGAATATAGTACAGCAACTGAAACAAAAGCATTGTTGGGACCGAAATATATACCACGAGAAACTTGCGATAGATATTTTGATTTACATTAAAAAATTTGTAGACAGTTTCCATGATAACGTTGAACAATTATATTGTAATAATTGTCAACGATACAGAACTTGTTGGCATATTTTGTTCTAATTTTTTTTTATATATTCATGTATTTGAAGTATTCGAGCAGATCATTATGTAGCTGGTACATGTGCAAATGCAACATACAAATTTGTTGATATTCGTAGTGACCAATGTGATAAGTGTGTAAATATTAATTAATCATGTTGAACGTATTGATTTTTCGTTAGACTGCTCGAAATTGGTCAGCCTAGGATCAATTGATATAGAAAGTATCAATTAGAAGTTCCTATATAAACACTAACAACATGTCGAGAAAACATTACAAAGATAGATGGAACATCATAGTAAGTGCACTATTCAATGCATGAGACAACATCTTAGTCCTAAATAATTTATCCAAGACTATGTAGTATAGAGGCGGATTATATCATAATACTCTATAGTTTTAATGACAAGACCACATGGTTTTGTTTCTTTAATTCCATTCTGTTAGACGGATAGATTTTCATCAGAAAAATCACAACTAGTTACAAATTCTGTATGTTCGAAATGAACACTTTCAACAATTGTTTTGGACGGCGTGAAAATTATAAATATCAAAAATTGTTCATCATTATCTTTTGATCATTCTAGATAAAATAATCATAAATTTCAAAAATACAAACTTATTCGAACTATTTTAAATGTGAATTCGGTTAATCTTTTTCTTAGTCATTCTAATTTATCAGTCATATTTTGATTACTTCGATTAAAATGTTCTTTCTTTAGCATCGATTGTAAGCCAGTTAATTTAGTAAGTTCACAAAGTTCTTTTATAAGTAAATAATATTTGCATTGGTCCACGTTGGCTAACAAGTATTACATGTCGTATTCGACTTTCATGAAGTGTATCAAATACTACAACATCAGCAACATGTGTTTTAGTTAAGCCATCAATAGATGAAAACATGTATTTTGAGTACAATCAAGTTGTGATTGAAGTTGAATATTTTCTGATACATCTATTTGAAATTGTTTTTCTTTTTTTATACTGACTTAAAAATTATTTTGTTTTGTTTTCATTTTGCCATTGTATTATTCACGAAAAATCTTTAGCAGAAAAAACGTTTTCCGATGTTATCTCATCAGCAATATTTAAATTACGTTCAACAGATAAACTATAAGCAAATATTGTAATAAAATTCTTGTAGTTCTTTCACATGTTCATGTTCAACTATTTTTGTAAATATATGTATAACATTTTTTACTTCAAGATGATCAGGTGCAAGACCATCATATCGATCAAGACTGAAAAAATGAAGATGACTTTTCAATAATATTAATTATTGCTAGCATTGTGTGACGAAGTGTAAGTAAAGAATCAGATGGACCACTGTCGACGATACAAATGAGTACGAGTGATGAAGGTACTATAGAGTTGCTAGTAACTATTGAAAGTAATCGTTGAATAAGACAATTTACAAAACAACGTCCATGAAAATGAATAAACATTGACAAGATATTGAAGATACTTCTACGTAGAATATAATATGAAGAATAATTT